CTCCTCCTCCTCCTCCTCCTCCTCCTCCTCCTCCTCCTCTCTCCCATGTTTCCTCCAACTTCTCCCAAAGACACTTCACCAGGAAGTCCCGCCCTCCCCGCGCGCTGATTGGACAGAATCCCAGGCGGCGACGCGGAAACCCGCAGCTCGATTGGCTCGGGCCCCTGTCAGTCAAAGGCGCGACGGGGATTTGCGGTCGGGCGTCAGGTGAAACTGGCTCCGCGAGGAAAAAACCAGGAGCCGATGAAAGTTTCTTCGTGCGAACTTTGTGTGAAGACTTTCCCTTAATTAATGAGCGAGTTCCCGGGAGGAGGCTTCTAACGAGAGGAGGCGCTGACTTCCAACCATGAAGAGTCTGAAGTACCGGCTGAAGAAGCACGAAGTGACCATCACAGTAAGTGAACTCTGTTTCTCAAGCTAACTCTCCGGCTCCCACCGCGGGAGCAGCCGCGTGTTGACAAACCGAGCTCAGGCCCGAGGGTGACTTTTAACACGGGGGTGGTGTTATTGTTCGGGACCCTGACCCCTCCACCCCTCCACCCCGGCAACAGCCGAGCAAACCGCGGGCCCGTTCCCACGGTGGCTCCGCTGCGGTGGTTCAAGCACCTGCGCCTCCGCTGGAGGAGGATCCAGCTTCTCCCCCCCCTGTGTGGACCGGAGCTTCATGTTCGGTGTTAGTCCCAGAGGAGGAACTGAAGCAGGTCCCACATGAGCTGGTTCTCAGAGAGACGTCTTTCACTGAGCTCTCCTTTGTGTCCTGACAACACTCTGGGAATAATAAACCCAGCTCCATTAAAAAAAAAAAAAACTGCTTTCAAAGTTCCTCACCAACTCGTGTGACATGTTCGAACTCCTCTGCTGGCGTGTAATGAAGTGTACTCGTGTTTCCACTCACCTTTTTACTCGAGAAAACAAGTTTTATGGAACTTAATACTTAGATTTCACCATTTCTGTGGGAAGTATTGTGCTGTTTCTTCTTTACATTTCCTGATAGGAAGAGTTATCAGTAACTCTGCAGATTCATAACATTAACTGTTCCCAGTTACAAGTGATGTTGGAAT